CGCCCATTTGGTATGCTGGCACTGCGGGTGGCAGCTTTACCCACTAAGCCACAGTGCTGGCCCTGTAAATAGTTTTTGTGCACCAACTTTGTGTGAGTAGTAGTCTAGGGACTGAGGATGAAGTGATCCTTTATGGATGGAAATTTAGGTTGTTTCTAATATTTTATTTTATTTAATTAATTAATTTTTTGACAGGCAGAGTGGACAGTGAGAGAGAGAGACAGAGAGAAAGGTCTTCCTTTGCCGTTGGTTCACCCTCCAATGGCCGCTGCGGCCGGCGCACCGTGCTGATCCGGAGCCAGGATCAGGATCTCCTGATCTCCCACGCGGGTGCAGGGCCCAGGGACTTGGGCCATCCTCCACTGCCTTCCCAGGCCACAGCAGAGAGCTGGACTGGAAGAGGGGCAACCAGGAAAGAATCCGGCGCCCCAACCGGGACCAGAACCTGGTGTGCTGGCGCCACAGGTGGAGGATTAGCCTACTGAGTCACGGCGCCAGCCTCTAATATTTTGATATCACAAACATCCATACAGTGACCAACCTTTTACAGGCATCTCAGTTCACATGTGAGAGTTTTTATTTGGCATTGATTCATACAAGTGCAATTTCTAGGCCAAAGGGCTCGATGTATTGCAAATTCAATTAGGATGGTGTTATTGTGGCAGGTAAATTTGTGATAAAAACCAAAAATATTTAATAAATGTAGAAACCCAGTAGAATGCCCTATGGGAAGCTGTAGGATTGCCCCTACAATTTCCTCTACTACATGAGTGTAGTCATACCCAAATCCTACTTTTTTTTTAAAGATTTATTTATTTATTTGAAAGGCAAAGGCAGAGAGAGAGAGAGAGAGAGAGAGAGAGAGAGAGAGGTCTTCCATCTATCTACTGGTTTACTCCTCAAATGGCTGCAATGGCCAGAGCTGGGCCAATCCGAAGCCAGGAGCCAGGAGCTTCTTCCAGGTCTCCCACGTGGGTGCAGGGCCCCAAGCATGTGGGCCATCATGCACTGTTTTCCCAGGCCATAGCAGAGAGCTGGATTGAAAGAGGAGCAGCCAAGATCCGAACTGGCACCCATATGGGATGCCAGTGCCACAGGCAGCAGCTTTATCTGCTATACCAGAGTGCCGCCCCCCTACTCATTCTTCAATGTCCACCTCAAACACCTCTTCCACAGACTAACCCAAAGTGCTCTCTCCTGCCTCTTTCCCTTGAGTACAGACACCCTCACCATATACTACTTTGTGTTCTAAATGCATTCTCTACTTGACTTTCATACTTTTCCCCTGGAGGGAATAGGCCATGTCTTTCATTCACCCTACATCCTCCCTCCGGGCATAGCACCAGACTCAATATTCACATAATTAATCACTAGTCCTAAAGTGGAAGACGTGAAATGCACAGCTTCAGGACTGAGCACGTAGCCTGCACAATGACCAGATGGTGTGTGTGCACCATCGGTGTGACATATGCTTCCCGTGGCTCACAAGGCTCTGCAGAAACTGCCTTCTTCCCTGGCTCAGTCTCCTACCATTTCTCTTCCGTCTAGGTTCCAGTCACACCAGCCTGTTTCCTGCTCTTTGAACACTGTCCCTGCTCCCATCTGAGTCTTTGTTACCGGCATTCCTGCTGCCTGCAATGCTCTACCTGCTGATCCCTGCCAGCTTCTCCTTTTTCTCCAGGACTCAGCTTGATTTTTTACCTCCTCTAAGAGGCTTTTCTTGACCTTCTCTTCCAAATTAGGTCTGCAACTCATCTCCCTCTATCTCATCACCTTAGCTTAATTCTCCATAGAACATTCATGGCTTTCTGAAATTAACATGTTCATGTGCTCCCACTACAATGTAAGTTCCATAACAGGGGGCACATTGCCTATCTTTTTCAATGCTCCCTACCTTTAGTGGCTACAAATACAGCTTGTAGTACTAAAGATACTTTTGGTTGAAAGTAACATATTGAGGCCGGTGCCACGGCTCACTAGGCTAATCCTCTGCCTGCGGTGCTGGCACCCCAGGTTCTAGTCCTGGTCGGGGCGCCGGATTCTGTCCCGGCTGCTCCTCTTCCAGGCCAGCTCTCTGCTGTGGCCCGGGAAGGCAGTGGAGGGTGGCCCAAGTCCTTGGGCCCTGCACCCGCATGGGAGACCAGGAGAGGCACCTGGCTCCTGGCTTTGGGTCTCGGATCGCTGGAGCGAGCCGGCCATAGCGGCCATTAAGGGAGTGAACCAACGGAAGGAAGACCATTCTCTCTGTCTCTCTGTCTCACTGTCTAACTATGCCTGTCAAAAGAAAAAAAAAGTAACATATTGAGGGGCCAGCACTGTGGCCTAGCGGGTAAAGCCACTGCCTGCAGTGCCGTCATCCCATATGCGCGCCAGTTCAAGTCGTGGCTGCTCTACTTCCAATCCAGCTCTCTGCTATGTCCTGGGAAAGCAGTAGAAGATGGCCCAAGTCCTTGGGCCTCTGCACCCACATGGGAGACCCGGAGAAAACTCCTGGCTCCTGGCTTCGGATCGGCGCAGCTCCGGCCGTTGTGGCCATCTGGGGAGTGAACCAGCAGATGGAAGACCTCTCTCTCTCTCTCTGCCTCTCCTCTTCTCTCTATGTAACTGACTTTCAAGTAAAATACATACTTAAAAAAAATAACATATTCAACTGAAAGTGGCATAAGTGGTAAGAATTAATTTTTCTCTCACTAAAAAAAGGGCCTAAGAGGTATGTGCTACAGGGTGGCTTCAATAGTTCAGTGGTGGCCGGCGCCGCGGATCACTAGGCTAATCCTCCGCCTAGCGGCGCCGGCACCCTGGGTTCTAGTCCCGGTCGGGGCACCGGATTCTGTCCCGGTTGCCCCTCTTCCAGGCCAACTCTCTGCTGTGGCTGAGAGTGCAGTGGAGGATGGCCCAAGTGCTTGGGCCCTGCACCCCATGGAGACCAGG